CCTCAACCTTCCCTTTTGGACTCTTCCTGTATGAGATTGTCTTGTGGCCTGTCATGTTCTGGATGCACTGAATCTTGTACACAAATCCTTTTTGAAATCTGATCAGATATTTCCCATGGAGTGTTCCCTCAATCCTTGTGTCTTTCAATGACTTTGCTCTCACTTGGGCATTCCTCACTGCCTTTGACACTTATGACAGTGGTCTTCTGGTCTCCTGTTCCACAACTGTCAGCACTGGCAGTGGATGTGTTGAGTCAGGATTTGTCCAATTTCTTCCTTTATGTTCTACCCCATTATTTGTCTCCTACCTAGTTCAGGATACTCTTTGTCAGGTCCTTCTGGTAGTGCCCTATTAGTTGGCTTAATCATGGTTTCCTCCATTGAGCCTTCTGACTTCCTCCCCTTTTCTTCTGTTCTCTTCTTCTTCAGCTTTGTACCTTCTCTCTTCCATTTAGCCATTTCAGCACTCCATCTTCACTTGTGGGATTTGTCTGGTCCCATGCATAAATGGTCAGGACTCTCTTCACATGTAGCCTTCTTCCTGCCTCATTCTCTATGTCCATCCTCAGGTATTTATCAGCAGAAGTGGCATATTTATTGCTGCTGGTCTCTGTGTTGATCCTTCTTGTCCTTCATTTCCCCAGCTGTCCGAGTTCTTCACATGGCTTTTCAACCAGAACTTGTCTTTTGCAACTATTGCTGGTTACCAAGTGTCTCTGTCAGCTACTTTCTGGTTTTCCAATTTCTGTTGGGTTTTACCTTCCCTGTTCTTACTATGTTATTCCATTCCTTCACCTCCATTGCCTTTCATGTCCTTTTAACCCATCCGAACTGGGCCCTTAACTCTTTGAATATGAATAGGTGCATTGCACCCAGTATGTAACCATGAGAGTAGTCATACTATAACTTTTGATAATGTATGCATATCTTCACAACATTTTGTAGGTTATTGGTAAACATTTCAAAGCTTTTGTACACTAAATATCAGATTATTTAATTCTGAATTAAGATTTTTTAATTAAAGATTTGCACATGAATTTATTCTTCCGGAATGTTGATCGT